TAAGTGTTTGACCACTAGGTGTAGGGACGATTGGCTTACAACATAGTCATTGAGGTGTAAGGGAACTGGATTGGCTGTTCCATAGCTACTGAGGTGTAAAGGATTGGCTGATCCATAACTGCTGAGCTGTAAGTTACTGGATTGACTGCTCCATAGCAACTGAGGTGTAAGGAACTGGATTGGCTGTTCCATAGCTACTGAGGTGTAAGGGATTGGATTGGTTGTTCCATAGCTACTGAGGTGTAAGTGACTGGATTGGCTGATCCATAACTGCTGAGCTGTAAGTTACTGGATTGACTGCTCCATAGCAACTGAGGTGTAAGGAACTGGATTGGCTGTTCCATAGCTACTGAGGTGTAAGGGATTGGATTGGCTGTACCATAGCTACTGATGTGTTTGGATGTGTAAACTAAACTCACTGTTCTGTCTGTGTAATAAGTACAACAGGTGTTCAGTGGAGTGTGTGGTGGATGTGTGCCCATAGTATTAAATGGCCTTGTTTTGTCCAAACTGGTATGCTATTGCATAACAATTTATTAACAGACTCATGGCCAGTGTACACAGAATAGTTAAGTAATGCATAAAACCCCCAGCAGTCTATAAGTACAAAGTCTTTTTCTAAAGAATGTTTTATTTTTCACTGGAATCCTGCGACAAACACCTGAACAGGGATAGATTATCTCAAAGGATTATATTCTGTTGTATATATTGAATATCATGTGCCTTTGCCCCATGTAGTCTCAGAACAGCAGAAAAGGGTCGCACTTTGCAACTCCACTGAACTGAAGCATAATGGGTGGTTGCATAGAACTTATGTTACAACAATAACCTGGAACGTATGGAAGCAATTGACTCCGAACAAGCAGGAGGTAATCTCAGAAAAGGGGAATTGACATGTGTTTGAAGGCTAGCTATTCGCATCGGTCCGCGCAATTCCCGGATCCTTGGGACGTCCCTACCCCATTGAAGTTGAAATTTAAAATGGTTAAGGTAAGTGTTAAGGTAAGGGTAGGGGTTATGGTTATGGTTAAGGTCAGGGTAAGGGTAGGGGATTTGCACAGCTGTTTATCAAGAGTTTATAGTTTACTAATTCAAATTTCACTGTGTGAGTGTTCTCATGAGATAATCAGTCACTTAACTCACCCACTTAGTGCCAGTTTGCCAGAAGAAAATCAAGGGCTAGCAGGTCTGGGCGGTGTTAGTCAGTGGTGCAGCAGCTTATATAGAACCAGAATGGAGCTGCTAGGCAAACAGTGCAATTGAAAAACAATCCCTAAGTAGACTAGTTTAGCACTGGGAGGAAAACCCAGTTATTCACGTGTCCCAGTGTACAGTAATATGCTGAAAACACACTCTCTCTCCATCCAACTCAGGAGGCTCCCCTAGCAACACATTCTTCTGTCTAAAGGGGGTTTCAAAGTCAAGACTACCTGCCAGTCAGCCCTGTACTCAAAGGAGTCACTGTGTGTGTGTGAGTCACTGTTCCCTCTTTGCCCACTCACCCCTTTCCCTTAATCCTTACTTATCATCTCTCTCTCTCTCTCTCTCTCTCTCTCTCTCTCTCTCTCTCTCTCTCTCTCTATCTCTCTCTCTCTCTGCTCTCGGCTCTCGGCTCTCGGCTCTCGCTCTCCTCTCTCTCTCTAGCTCTCTCTCCTCTCTCTCTCTCTCTCTCTCTCTCTCTCTCTCTCTCTCTCTCTCTCTCTCTCTCTCTCTCTCTCTCTCTCTCTCTCTCTCTCACTCTCTCACCCTCTCTTCCTCTCCCTCTCTCTCTCCCTCTTCCATGCCCTGCAGTCTCTCTGAGGCCTGGCCAAGAGCCCAGCCCAGCCAGCAGGTCAGGCAGCAGCTCCCTCAGTGTCCCTGATCTCCAGAAACCTACCCTATCTCCCCGGGCACGACGGTGAGCCTCACCATAACCCAGTCCAGACTGATTCAAACACACACAAGACACTCACATGCAGAAACACACTCAAACTGAGAAGCAACCAGTATATACAGTTGAAGTCGGAAGTTTACAAACACTTAGGTTGGAGTCGTTAAAACTCATTGTTCAACACTCCACACATTTCTTGTTAACAAACTATAGTTTTGGCAAGTCGGTTAGGACATGCTATTTTGTGCATGACACAAGTAATTTTTCCAACAATTGTTTACAGACAGATTATTTAACTTATAATTAACTGTATCACAATTCCAGTGGGTCAGAAGTTTACATACATTAAGTTGACTGTGTCTTTAAACAGCTTGGAAAATTCCAGAAAATGATGTCATGGCTTTAGAAGCTTCTGATAGGCTAATTGACATCATTTGAGTCTATTGGAGGTGTACCTGTGGATGTATTTCAAGGCCTATCTTCAAACTCAGTGCCTCTTTGCTTGACATCATGGGAAAATCAAAAGAAATCAGCCAAGACCTCAGAAAAAAAATTATAGACCTCCACAAGTCTGGTTCATCCTTGGGAGCAATTTCCAAATGCCTGAAGGTACCACGTTCATCTGTACAAACAATAGTACGCAAGTATAGGACCTTGTGAAGATGCTGGAGGAAACAGGTACAAAAGTATCTATATCCACAGTAAAATGAGTCCTATATCGACATAATCTGAAAGGCCGCTCAGCAAGGAAGAAGCCACTGCTCCAAAACCGCCATAAAAAAGCCAGACTACGGTTTGCAACTGCACATGGGGACAAAGATCGTACTTTTTGGAGAAATATCCTCTGGTCTGATGAAACAAAAATGTAAATGTTTGGCCATTATGACCATCGTAATGTTTGGAGGAAAAAGGGGGTTGCTTGCAAGCCAAAGAACACCATCCCAACCGTGAAGCATGGGAGTGGCAGCATCATGCTGTGGGGGTGCTTTGCTGCAGGAGGGACTGGTGCACTTCACAAAATAGATGGCATCATGAGGAAGGAAAATTATGTGGATGTATTGAAGCAACATCTCAAGACATCAGTCAGGAAGTTAAAGCTTGGTCGCAAATGGGTCTTCCAAATGGCCAATGACCCCAAGCATACTTCCAAAGTTGTGGCAAAATGTCTTAAGGACAACAAAGTCAAGGTATTGGAATGGCCATCACAAAGCCCTGACCTCAATCCTATAGAAAATGTGTGGGCAGGACTGAAAAAGCGTGTGCGAGCAAGGAGGCCTACAAACCTGACTCAGTTACACCAGCTCCGTCAGGAGGAATGGGCCAAAATTCACCCAACTTATTGTGGGAAGCTTGTGGAAGTCTACCTGAAACGTTTGACCCAAGTTAAACAATTTAAAGGCAATGCTATCAAATACTAATTGAGTGTTTGTAAACTTCTTGTCACGGTTTCGGCCGAGGCTGCTCCTCCTCCTGGTTCGGGCAGGCTTCGGCGGTCGTCGTCTCCGGAGTACTAGCTGCCACCGATCTATGTTTCATGTTCGTTTGGTTTGGTCTTGATGTTGTACACCTGTGTCTAGTTAGTCCTCGTTAGTGTTCTATTTAGTTCTCGTTGTGTGTGTCTGTGTTTGTGTGTGATTGTTTCGCTGTCGTGTTTGTGCGCTACTGTTGCCTTGTGCATTTTGTATTTTCCTCCTCTGTGTTAGGAGGTTATTTTTACGCACTGTTTTGTGCTCCTTTTGGTTTTCGCCTGTGTGCGGACTTTCTCGCCTCCGGGCGTTTGACTCGTTATTTTGAGTGTGCTTTTCACTAAAGTCTATTGGACTTATTTTTCTGCGTCCTGCATCTGATTCCTGCACCACACCCACCTACAGCACCCACTGACACTTCTGACCCACTGGGAATGTGATGAAAGAAATAAAAGCTTAAATAAATCATTCTCTCTACTATTATTCTGACATTTCACATTCTTAAAATAAAGTGGTGATCCTAACTGACCTAAGACAGGGAATTTTTACTAGGATTAAATGTCAGAAATTGTGAAAAACTGAGTTTAAATGTATTTGGCTAAGGTGTATGTAAACTTCCGACTGTAATTGTCTTTCATGAGCTGCCTTTCCATTGAGTGATATATGAGCCTAGAGCAAGACAATACATGACACTGCTCTTTGTCCCATATATTGTGTCAAGGAATATCGGTTTGCTGAATGCGCTACAGTTACATTTATATTTAAGTCATTTAGCAGACGCTCTTATCTAGAGCAACTTACAGTAGTGAGTGCATACATTTTCATACTTTTTCGTTACTCTAATACAGTTAGAGTTATATTTTCCTCCTCATCTTCAAGTAGAGATATCACTCTTCCTTATTGTTATTACAGCTACTTATTACTGTGTACCTCTTGTATGTAGTACGCCAACATCTCCACGTCCACTCCATTCTGGAACTGCGTTGCCAAGCAACGGGGAGCCCAGGAGCCCACACACACTTTCTAGCATGGCCTCTTCCCCTCTTAAGACGAGTGGAGGAGGAGGAGGAGGAGGGAGGAAGGGTGCAGATGATTCTCCAGCTAGCGGTCAGTGTGGAGGGGGCTCCACTTCCTCCTCCTCCGTTCCTAGCGCTCCGTTGTACCGGACGCATGGCATGCACATACACACTGAAGACATGGAGAGCCTCTCAGAACGCACCGCCGCCTGCTCCATACGGGAACCCGGAGGGGGAACACAGTCACCGCAACCAGTGGAGGAGGAAGTCGACATAGAGGGAGTCAAACTCAGGTAAAAATATGTGGAGGGGGGCGTGGTAATTATGTGCTAATTGGTAATTGATTAGTGAAAGTGCAGTATGTTGCAGGTGATTTATTTGCTTAAGAGGGTTTTAATATGCTTAAGAGGGTGAGATTTTTGAAGAGTTGCTCAGTGAAGTACTAAAACAGTGTGAGTGAGCTATGCAGGGCATTTCAACAAGTGTGTCGGTAGAATGAGAGGAAGTGGGAGTTGCAGCATTTCTGCACCTTCTATCAGAGTCCCTGGTCCCTGCTTTAAATCTTGGGGCATGAATATATTCCTTATTTTATGGGAACGTGCCTTTTAAAATGCGTATTATTGATCTTGAGGATGGAATCTCTCATATAAGAAATGTTTGGGAGAACAAGAATCTATGGGTAGTCTGTTGAGATTTGAATATCTAACATTTCTCATGCAGTGTTAGTCGGCCCACACAAAATGAACAGATGGTATTTGGATAATGTGAAATGAAGTGCTCTCAATCTGACTCTCATAGACCTCCAGATGATCCAATGAGTGTCCTCGAAATGTTGTAAATTATAGGATGAATAGTGCTTTGTCATTGACGTCAAGGCATCTCATCTCTCATCTTTATTTTTTATCTCTTTCTTTCTCTCATTCTCTCTTTCTCTACTCAGGTTGGTGAGCAACGGGGAAAGAAAGGGCTCAACACCATTGAAAGTAGAATCCATCTGCAACAGTCTCAACATTGTCAAGAACATTGGTGAGAAAAATGTAGCCAGTAGAACTGTCCATTCCATGCAAGGTGGAGGTAACATATGTATTCCACCCACAGTTCAGCCTCCAGAGCTGCTGCTGCTCTAACATAATGATCTTCTCTGTTCCACCACCTACAGTGCCTTGCAAATGTATTCACCCCCCTTGGCGTTTTTCCGATTTTGTTTTTCCGATTTTTATTTGGATTTCATGTAATGGACATACACAAAATAGTCCAAATTGGTGAAGTGAAATGAAAAAAATAACTTGTTTCAAAAAATCATAACAAATTAATAACGGAAAAGTGGTGCGTGCATGTGTATTCACCCCCTTTGCTATGAAGCGCCTAAATAAGATCTGGTGCAACCAATTACCTCCAGAAGTCACATAATTAGTTAAATAAAGTCCACCTGTGTGCAATCTAAGTGTCACATGATCTCAGTTTATATACACCTGTTCTGAAAGGCCCCAGAGTCTACCACACCACTAAGCAAGGGGCACCACCAAGCAAGCGGCACCATAAAGACCAAGGAGCTCTCCAAACAGGTCAGGGACAAAGTTGTGGAGAAGTACAGATCAGGGTTGGGTTATAAAAAATATCAGAAACTTTGAACATCCCACGGAGCACCATTAAATCTATTATAAAAAAATGGAAAGAATATGGCACCACAACAAACCTGCCAAGAGAGGGCCGCCCACCAAAACTCACAGACCAGGCAAGAAGGGCATTAATCAGAGAGGCAACAAAGAGACCAAAGATAACCCTGAAGGAGCTGCAAAGCTCCACAGCAGAGATTGGAGTATCTGTCCATAGGACCACTTTAAGCCGTACACTTCACATAGCTGGGCTTTACAGAAGAGTGGCCAGAAAAAAGCCATTGCTTGAAGAAAAAAATAAGCAAACACGTTTGGTGTTCGCCAAAAGGCATGTGGGAGACTCCCCAAACATATGGAAGAAGGTACTCTGGTCAGATAAGACTAAAATTGAGCATTTTGACCATCAAGGAAAACGCTATGTCTGGCGCAAACCCAACACCTCTCATCACCCCGAGAACACCATCCCCACAGTGAAGCATGGTGGTGGCAGCATCATGCTGTGGGGATGTTTTTCATCGGCAGGGACTGGGAAACTGGTCAGAATTGAAGGAATGCTGGATGGCGCTAAATACAGGGAAATTCTTGAGGAAACCTGTTTCAGTCTTCCAGAGATTTGAGACTGGGACGGACGTTCACCTTCCAGCAGGACAATGACCCTAAGCATACTGCTAAAGCAACACTCAAGTGGTTTAAGGGGAATAATTATGCACGCTCAAGTTTTCTGTTTATTTGTCTTATTTCTTGTTTGTTACACAAAAACAAATATTTTGCATCTTCGAAGTGGTAGGGATGTTGTGTAAATCAAATGATACAAACCCCCCCAAAAAATCAATTTTTTAATTCCAGGTTGTAAGGCAACAAAATAGGAAAAATGCCAAGGGGGGTGAATACTTTTGCAAGCCACTGTACACATGCGCAGGTAGTGGTACACACAAACACACGCATGCACACACACACACACACACACACACTGCTGTTAACAACAACATATCCTATGATATTGCCTTAAAAAGAACAAGATTTCCCTTAAGTTGAATCCATCTATCACTTACAACTTCACCGTGCATCCGTCAAGGTTGAAGGCTGAGTTTAGTGTGTTCAGGGCTTTGTTTTCTGTACTTACCGTAATGGGTATAGATGAGTTAAGATAGTGGTGTTCAGAGCAGGGTCACACCTGTTCTGTGGATGTAAATAAATGGATGTCCTTTGAATGGATGCATGAATGGAATAACTCTGGAGAAAGTGCTTCTTGTCAACATGTTGGTTCAAGCATGCCTCTCTCTTTCTCCTCTCTCAATCTCACCCTCTCTCTCCCTCTCTTATATAAGTGTCAATACCAGACGCCCACCTACAGTAGGTGAGCATTTTAATCTGACTGAGGGGGCTTATGCAACTGTTTCCTGCTGTTCAACATCACCTTAACCTCTATGTAGCGTGAGAAGACAGAACATAAACATGCATGCCAACAATGCATGCATGCATGCACACACACACACACACACACACACACACACACACACACACACAGTGCCAATGTTCTCCTCCGCAACTAACCACCCTGCTTATCAATGTGCAAGTGTCCAGCCCTCTTTCACCTGAAACTGGCTGAGGGAGAAGTAAAGAGAAAGAAAGGAGAGGACTTAAAGAGAAATGTGAAGTCAGTCAGCCACTGGCGGCCTGCCAACACGCAAAGGAGATGAGATCCATTATTTCAAAGGAGATGAGATCCATTCTTTCAAAGGAGATGAGATCCATTCTTTCGAAAGAGCTGGGATCCATTCTTTCAAAGAACGTGAGATCCATTCTTTCAAAGGAGATGAGATCTATTCTTTCAAAGGAGATGAGATCTATTCTTTCAAAGGAGATGAGATCCATTCTTTCGAAGGAAATTAGATAAATTATTTCAAAAGAGATGAGATAAATTATTTCAAAGGAGATTAGATACATTCTTTCAAAGGAAATTAGATAAATTATTTCAAAGGAGATGAGATCCATTCTTTCCAAATTGACTGTACACAATAACTCATGTAGTTACAACTCCACGATGTCACACAAATATGAAGGGAACGTTTTAGTTCTGGGTCACAGGGGTCAGTGTAAAGACACCAAAGTGTGGTTGTGAGTTATAAGTTTGATTCGCCCATGGGCCACATATTCTGTATGATGTGGCTTCGGACTAAAGTTCTGCTAAATAACCCTAATAATATATGATTGTTATCAAACCAAACATGCCTGTGTCCTCAGACTCATGTTGTCTTGCTTCTGTCCTTTGTTCTTTCTGTTTTGTCCCTTTTTGTCCCTCCAGCCTTCCTCTACCAGGAGTACCGGGACACATCCAAGCAGCAGGAGATCGAGCAGCGACGGCAGCAGGATGGGTTGACCTTGGGGGTCAGCGCGGGGTTAGGGGTGACATCCCCACCGGCCCTGCAGCTGCAGCTGAGGAACAACTCTCGCTCTCTGAGTCTGTGGCAGAACCTGGAGGTCGTGCAGCAGAGTGGCCTGCTCACCCAGCTATCGCAGAGAGAGGTCATCATACAAGAGGTGAGAGGTCAAAGGTCATACAGTAGAAGGAAGGGCAGAGAGAGAGAGAGGTCAAAGGTTATACTGGAGGGTGAAAAGTCAGAGAGGTCTTACTGGATGGTGAATGGGAAGTGAGAGCCTTACATGACCTGTGTCCTCTCTCTCTTCTCTAGGCCATGTTTGAGCTGGTGACCTCAGAGGCATCCTACTACAAGAGTCTGGAGGTGCTGGAGACCCACTTCCTGAAGAACCCTGTGCTGGTCAACACACTCAGCCAATCAGACATGCACTTCCTGTTCTCCAACATCAAGGAGGTGATGAAGGCCAGCGAGAGGTAAGAGAAGCGTGTGTGTGTGACTAATCAGCCCCTCATTCTCTCTGCAACGTGTGATTACTGACCCCACTAAACTGCTGTTAAGCTTTCTGAAAGTAAAAGGTTAACAAGTCCTTATTAATCTTTCATTTCTTATCATACTGTAATAGTTGTATAGTGACCTTTATTCACCTGTCCCCTGCTAGTGATGTCATACTATACATCCTTCCTTAGGTTCCTGATGGACCTGGAGAACCGTATCGAACAGTCCCTCCAGATCTCAGAGGTGTGTGACATCGTCCACCACCACGCCGTCAAGCACTTTCACGTCTTTATCACCTATGTCATCAACCAGGTGTACCAGGAGAAGAACTACCGACGCATTCTGTGGGTACCCCTCCAACTAATGTCTATAGTAGTAGGATATGTGGTTTAACATCTCTGTTGGTACCCCTCCAACTAATGTCTACAGTAGTAGGATATGTGGTGTAACCTCTCTGTGCAGTAGGACAATATGGATGGTGTTGTGGTTGGTATGGTATGACTTTCTGCACAATGGAAAGTAATGTGGTGGTTTGAACATGCCTGTGTTTTGTGTTGGCTGTCTTTGGGGTGGTTTGAACATGCCTGTGTTTTGTGTTGGCTGTCTTTGGGGTGGTTTGAACATGCCTGTGTTTTGTCCAGCCAGGGAAACCAGTCATTCCGCGAGGCCATGGCTCAGCTGGAGAACCAGCCGCGTGTCCGAGGCCTCTCCTTCACCTCCTTCCTCATCCTCCCCTTCCAGAGGATCACAAGACTCAAAATGTTGGTCCAGGTAAGTGGAGCAAGAGAGTGGGCTGAAACAAGATGGGGAAGCATGGCGTTGCTGAAAAGCGAATAATGGTTGTGATAATGCTTTACTGTGTGCTAACATATTGCAGTATCAGTATTCAGTATTTTTTTTTTTTGTGTTGAGCTTTTGATGCTGTGTTTGCTTGCAGAACATTCTGAAGAAGGCAGAGGAGAATTCTGAGAGGGAGGCCAATGCCATCAAGGCTCACCAGCAGCTGGAGCAGGTACGGTAGGGAGGGGTGCTGACTTTTCTTGGGTCCATTACTGACGCAGGTACAGTAACAGTACCAAACCAGTTTACAGTACTAAACTAGTTTACAGTATCAAACCAGTTTACAGTACTAAACCAGTTTACAGTACCAAACCAGTTTACAGTACTAAACCAGTTTATAGTACTAAACCAGTTTACAGTATCAAACCAGTTTACAGTATTAAACCAGTTTACAGTACCAAACCAGTTTACAGTACCAAACCAGTTTACAGTACTAAACTAGTTTACAGTATCAAACCAGTTTACAGTACTAAACCAGTTTACAGTACCAAACCAGTTTACAGTACTAAACCAGTTTATAGTACTAAACCAGTTTACAGTATCAAACCAGTTTACAGTATTAAACCAGTTTACAGTACTAAACCAGTTTACAGTACTAAACCAGTTTACAGTACCAAACCAGTTTACAGTACTAAACCAGTCTGGGCGAGATGACAGGGTGCTGGATTTGGTTCAGTACTGGCCTGGGGCGTGTTAGAGGAAGTAGTGCGGGTGGTGATTATGGCATGTCATGGTGTTGAGTGTTGCATCAAAAACAATCATCGCCATCATCATGTTGGGAAGACTTAGTGTTGCCACAACTCTCTGTGTATTGAATTATGATTGTCATGATGAGGTTAATTGTCGTCGCCACAAACAAAGGAATGTAGTTTTAATTGGAGCATCAAGTATAGCCTCTACATAAACATTTAGTTTGCTCTCTGAAACAGGTTTAGCAGCCATTCCTTTGGACTCACAATTTGCATATATTCTTTGCCTCCCAGTAATGTTTGTTAAAGAGATTCTCCGGTACTTTTATATAATTTTTTGCCAGTAGTTCTGAAAGTGGAGCTCATGAGCCACTCGACTTCGTCTCGGGCCTAACAACACCCGTGCCAATATATCCTCCAAACACCGGCTTCTTTGGCATTATTGCTTGATTATACCATGGCATTGTTGAATACTCCTTTCTGATTGGCTTGAAGGTCATTCTAGAGTGTGCATTATTTCCCTATAACGCATGGTATATTTGCACGGTATAATTCAATGGCTATAGTTCATTTTTACATGTTTTGTTTGAGCTGCTTTTGAATAGCAAGCTAAGACTGATGGTTTGGTTAGCTAAACTAGCAAGTCTGTTTGTTTGGTTACCACGGCAACTACTGTAGCTATCTAGTAAACTTGCTAGCTACTTCAGTGGATGTTGAACACATTTTTTGTGGCAAATGAACACATTTCTACTGGCAAATGTGCTAAATTATAGCCATGGTATAAAAGGGATAATCAATGAGGCGTTATGCGTTCTCTGGAAAAGAATGCAGATCTGTGGAATGTCAGTTCCACTCCGCTAGCGCATCGTGGAACACACCTTTTACGTCGTTGATTATCCCTTACATAAACTACACATTGACACATCCAGCCCAAAGCGGGAGGTTTAAAAAATACTTACTAGTCGCCAAAGTTCCGGAGCATGTCTTTAACTGCCTATATACAATTCCAAGGGAGTGTTGGGATGTGTTCCTTATATAATGGTTTGTTTGTGCGCATGTCAGATTGTGAAGGAGTGCAACGAGGGTGTGAGGAAGATGAGTCGTACAGAGGAACTCATCAGCATTGAGAAAACACTGGAGTTCAAGTCTAAGGTACCTGCAGCCGCCAGTCATGTGACAGCATGTCTATATTCTGTATAGTCAAACAGTGACACTGCCAGACTGGCACAAACAGACTTGATCAAAGGTTATCTATCTCAGTTAGGTTCATTGCCTGTTTGAATCCTTTAAGGAGATCGATAGACTGAAATGTTGGCATTTCAACAACAACAACAAATCTGATGTAAATAAAGACATCTCCATGATCTATAATAACCCTGAGTTGAACTCTGACCTTGTGACCTGTGACCCTCTCCCTCCAGTCGGTGCCGGTGATCTCCCACTCCCGCTGGCTGCTGAAGAAGGGTGAGGTGCAGCAGATGGCCGGGCCCAAGAGCACTAGGACCATGCGGAGCAAGAAGCTCCACCACCCTGTCTACCTGTTCCTCTTCAACAACCTGCTGCTCATCACCAAGCGCAGCTCCAGGTCAGCACATGACATCATCACACAGAGACAGCTAGTGGTCATTGGGGGTCGCAGTGTACACCCACTTTCAGTTTGGGACTTTCTATTGCTTCCCCTCACAACACATTATTTTGTATACAGGCAGTTTTGAAGTCTACTACCTGCCAAACTGCCCTTTGCTCACAGGAGGCTTTGTGAATGTGTGTGTCTGTGTGTGCGTGTCTCCGTCAGTAGTGAGAAGTTCCAGGTGCTGGACTCGTGCACGCGGGCCATGCTGAGGACTGAGGACCTGGAAGACCATGGTCAGATGCTGGCCAACGTGTTCAACCTGAAACTCCTGGAGAACCAGGAGGAGAGGCCTGTCAACTACATGCTCAAGACCTCCAGCATGTGAGTGACTACAACTAACAGTATTATATATGAGCCTCAAGCCCCCTCGGCACCTAGAGTACTCTGTACACTACTTCTCTGTATGTCATTGATCCGTTATAAACAATCTCCCATGTGTGCTTGTGTGCTGCTGCCAGGAGTGATAAGCTGCGCTGGATCTGTGCTCTCACGCCAAACCGCCGCACGCGATTCATGTCTACCATCGCCCACCGACCAGGTGAGACGTACACAAAGATGACACACACCGACTCAAAGATGACATCCACTACTCACAGCTGAACTCTTAGGTACCAAATAACAGGTGGTATATACAGTATGTTATTAATGTGCCACTGTGTGTGTGTGTGTGTGTGTGTGTGTTTGCGTGCGTGTGTGTGTGTGGTCAGCCTTTCCCCAGGTCCAGTGTATTCAGTCATACTCGTCTCAGGAGCCAGATGAGCTGTCTATTGAGATGGCTGACGTGCTGAACATCCTGGAGACGACAGATGATGGTGAGACCAGACAACATATCTCCTGGGAGATCTTATTACTAGCTCTACTGTAGATTTACCAGGCTGCCTGTTATTTAATATCTCTCCCTTTACTCCCTCTCTTTCTTTATCTACACTCCTCTTCCACTCTTCCCTCTCTTTCTCTCTCTCCCCTCTCGCTCTCACTCTCTTTCTCCCCTCTATCACCCCCTCAGGCTGGATGATGGGTGAGATGCTCCATGATGGAGAGAGGGGCTGGTTCCCCTGTCGGGTGGTAGAAGAGATCCAAAACCAGGAAGTGCGGGCCCAGAACCTCAGGGAGTCAGAGGATCCACCTGGCCCAGGGAGGGGGCGCTTCTTCAGGGGCCAGGCTGGGCTCCAGGGGGGGCAGACGCAACCCCAAAACACCCAAAGTCTCACATTTCTTCAGTACCTGGACTGACCAGTCAGAGGAGGAGCAGTGAAGCACATGATATTCCACCCTGAAAGTGGTTGGTTGGAACCCCCTGGCAGCAATCTTTACTGGACCACATGGATCAAATGACAGAGATCATGGGATTTGAGCATGGGATTGCAATGGAGGAAAGTGACATCATGCAATGACATTATTTCCAGTTAACTGTTTCCCTTTCTCAGGTGGTTTTGGTGTGCCAGGGTTTAGGGTCCCAGGCTGCAGGGTTTAGGGTCCCAGGCTCCAGGGTTTAGGGTCCCAGGCTCCAGGCTCCAGGGTTTAGGGATCCAGGCTCCAGGGTTTAGGGTCCCAGACTCCAGGGTTTAGGGTTTAGGGTCCCAGGCTCCAGGGTTTAGGGTTTAGGGTCCCAGGCTCCAGGGTTTAGGGTCCCAGGCTCCAGGCTCCAGGGTTTAGGGTCCCAGGCTCCAGGGTTTAGGTTCCCAGACTCCAGGTTCCAGGGTTTAGGGTCCCAGGCTCCAGGTTCCAGGGTTTAGGGTCCCAGGCTCCAGGGTTTAGGTTCCCAGGCTCCAGTGTTTAAGGTCCCAGGCTCCAGGGTTTAGGGTCCCAGGCTCTCCCAATGTGTTCTACGATCAGAGCGCTTCTTCCATAACTCCAACACACTGCATGTCTTACAATACCTCCAGTGGAATTGTCACGATCGTTGTAAGAGGCAGACCAAGGCGCAGCGTGATAGGCGTACATCTTTTAATGAGTACTTGACACCATAACAAAACAACAAAACGATACGTGAAGTCTAAAGGTTCACCAACACAAACCTATACAGAACAAGATCCCACAAATAACTAGTGCCAACAGGCTGCCTAAGTATGGTTCCCAATCAGAGACAACGAGAATCAACTGCCTCTGATTGGGAACCACCCTGGCCAACATAGAAAACACGAACTAGAACACAACATAGAAAATCACACATAGAAAATCCACACCCTGGCTCAACATATAAGAGTCCCCAGAGCCAGGGCGTGATAGTACCCCCCCTCCCAAAGGCGCGGACTGCGACCGCGCCAACCAAACCCAACAGGGGAAGGGCCGGGTGGGCATTCCGCCTCGGAGGCGGATCCGGCTCCGGGCGTGACCACCACTCTCTCGCTACCCCCCCGTAGCTTGCCTGGTCTGGTCTGGCCCTGCTGGCCGGAGCTGGACTGGACACCGGTGGAGCGGATTGCTCAGGCTCCGGTGTGGAGCAGCTGACCGGTGCCTGACCAGGCACCGGTGGAACAGGCACGGGCTGTGCCGGACTGACGACGCGCACCACTGGCTTGGTGCGGGGAGCAGGAACAGGCCGGACCGGGCTGACGACGCGCACCACTGGCTTGGTGCGGGGAGCAGGAACGGGCCGGACCGGGCTGGCGACGCGCACCACTGGCTTGGTGCGGGGAGCAGGAACAGGCCGGACTGGGCTGACGACGCGCACCACTGGCTTGGTGCGGGGAGCAGGAACGGGCCGGACCGGGCTGATGACGCGCACCATTGGCTTGGTGCGGGGAGCAGGAACAGGCCGGACCGGGCTGGCGACGCGCACCACTGGCTTGGTGCGGGGAGCAGGAACAGGCCGGACCGGGCTGGCGACGGGCACCACAGGCTTGGTGCGAGGGACAGGAACAAGCCGGACCGTACTGGGAACACACACCACTGGCCTTGTGCAGGGATCAGGAATGGGCCGGACCGGACTGGTAATACACCACAGTACCTCTCGCCGTGCCTCTACACTCTCCTTCCCCCTCATGACCAATGGCCCCCGTAACCTGGTGGCCTCCTCTCCTAGTCCGCAAACTTGCCCTGTAGCTGCCTCCAGCAGCCCCGTCGTCCATGCCGTGTGCCCCCCCCAAAAAAAATTACTTGGGGTTGCCTCTCGCCTGTCCGACGACGGCCCGGTTGGCGCCGCTTCTCCTCTCCTGCCTGGGCATCCTCCCTCATCGCCCTCCGGTAGCGGACGGCCTCCTCCTCTGTGATTCTCCCCCAACCGAGGAGGACATCTACCAGAGTAACCTCCTGTTCCATACCCGGCGTTTGCTCCTGCACACGCTGCTTGGTCCTATTTTGGTGGGATCTTCTGTTACGATCGTTATAGGAACCGGACCAAGGCGCAGCGTGATAGGCGTACATCTTTTAATGAGTACTTTACACAATAACAAAACAACAAAACGATACGTGAAGTCTAAAGGTTCACCAACACAAACCTATACAGAACAAGATCCCACAATTAACTAGTGCCAACAGGCTGCCTAAGTATGGTTCCCAATCAGAGACAACGAGAATCAGCTGCCTCTGATTGGGAACCACCCTGGCCAACATAGAAAACACGAACTAGAACAAAAACATAGAAACTACAACATAGACACTACACACCCTGGCTCAACTTTTAAGAGTCCCCAGAGCCAGGGCGTGACAGGAATGATTCAGCACTAACAGTCTAACTATAAAACAAGGCTCAGGTGGAACAGGAGCTATGCATGTGATGGGAGAAGATAACCACATAAACTGTTTTCAAGGGGATGGTAGCATGTGAATGTATCGTAACCTTGCCTCAACTGCATGGGTGTATTTTGTTCTTTCATTTTTTAAAGTGCTTCTTTGCTAGAGATTTAAGTCTCCCAGAACAATGGCTTGACCATCCACCCTTTTGTAAAGAGCAACTCCTCTATTGAAACCATACAAGAAGCAAGTTTTAAAAACTGTCCACTTGCATTGAATGGAAATTAGCCGTGAATGTTTCATGATTCTGTCCAGTAAATAGAACAATCACATGACAGAGTGCTCAGTATTGGGCTGGAGGTAATTGACTGGAGAAGACGAGCACTACAGAATCAGTGGACATGTGTTCTGGGGGTCAGTTCCCTTGCCAATACTGATACACCACTTACACATGCACGCTGACATACGTACACACACACACACACACAGTGGGGAAATCCTGCACAACTTGTCCAACGCCAAAAACCCTCCACAGACCCCTGGTCCTGAAGCATCTGCACAGAATGTGCCAGCACAACGACAGCACTGGAATGGCATGCGAGTGACAAAACATTTGTGTTTCTTTGTGAGTATCATGAGTGTGTGTATATTGTAAGCCTTGAATGTTCAATATGTAATTAAATAATTACTGAATAATTGTGTAATTTCATTATGTAAGAAATACTTTTTTGCTAATAAAAACTACATCTGAAATTTAAATTGACATGATTTGTTTATTCTGTTGATAACTGGTTTGACTGGTATTTAGCCCACATGTTGTACACTGATTTAGGTTTATCGCTGAATGAATTCCTGGTAATGTGGAGATGTGATTTAACCTGCATAAAGGTTATCAGGTGGTGAATCAGAACCTTGTCTTGCTGACACAATATTCATGTTTACAAAACATTAGACAAACATTAGACCATCTTTTAACATAGTACGTGAACAATTGAGCATTACTATTTATATAACAGGGTGGCAGGTAGCCTATCGCAGTCAGTCAAACCCGGTCCGTGGACCGGCGCCGGTCCGTGGAGGAATGCTTGCTGATCCGCAGCATATTTGTCTTGTATAAATAGGCCTACTTGAGGTAGGCCTACTTGCGCAATGCGCTGAACTACATATGCTACATGCATGCTGCAGTACAGGTTTAAGATGGGATATATTTTGAACCTAGGCTGCATGAAACAAAATTGTGTTGCCATGACGAAGTATAGCTACACTAAACACACACACTAGTATACATTGGCGACCTGTCATATATATTTTTAGGCTGTTTTGCATGTTATTTTGACATTAATATGTATCACATATCAGTTTGTAAACACTGTAAAATAAAATAAAATAAAATCGTTGAGTTAATAAAGCCGCATACAAACATGGTCTCTTTTTTGCTTTCTTGAGTAAGGCAGCTCCAAAATGCAGGTGTTTCAGCCTAATTTAGTGCTTTCTGTGGTGGAGGGGCAGCCAGCAGAAAATACAGAGCGTAGTGGTTGGTAATCTTCTCTAGTTGCGCCGTGATTGGCTCAGTGTTCTGTCACTCATGGGGACACTACGTCACCGCAAAATCTACAGGGAGCGCTAGAAAGTTCAAGCTCCCTTGGGTGCTGCCATAGATGTACATTAGAAGTGCCCATCCAAGAAGACTCAAGGTCATTGGCCACAGATAAAACGATGTCAAATCACGTTATATCTACCGTAGGTTTGATTGGACTGATCATGTCAACATCATACATTCAAAGTCTTAGCTAGCAAGCTAGACAAGCAGTCATCATCATGAATCACGTCGACAATCTACTGGCAAATCCTTTTCAATCCTTGTCATATGAAGAGAAATTATAGAGAAAACATATCGGTGCTCATCGGCCATTGGACATAGACATTACACAACATGTTGGAAGTCGCAAATTCAACAATGAGTGGTTTGGAAGGAATCAGTGGCTAACTGCAAGCATTGCAAAGCAATTAGTATATTGCTTCCCCTGCCTGCTATTCGGTGGAGAGGGTGTTTTGGTCCAAGTCTGGGTTTAAGGGTCTCTTTTCCAAACTTAAAAGGATAAACATTCATGCAACACCATGGGCCAGAAAAGGTTGAATACATACCCCATGTTGTCAAGTCAACATGATGAAAACAACTGGAAACTGAGAACTAGGAAATCTCAGACTTCAGTTAGTTCAAGAAAACTGGGAACTTGGGGAAAATGAGCTCCGACTAGGAAAATACTTTTTGAACGGTCATCCAACTGGGAATTCCAAGTCGGGAACTCTGGCCTCTTTCTAGGGCTCCGACCTGAAGATCACTGACGTCATGATTCGACCTGCTTTTTTCCAGAGTTCCCAGTTGTCTTGAAAGCACCATAAATCCTAAGAATGCCAGACTTTGATGATAAAGTTCCATGACAAGATTTGCCCATAAGAAGGACCGCTGCACTACCTTCCTGTTCAAGGGAGCACAGCACAACGGTGAGTCCAAAAATATATTGTATGCTGCTGCATAAATGATGTAATATGCCAGG